TGGGCCCTAAATGTCAATACCTCCTTGCGAATGTTCCTCACAGTGGAAGAAGGGAAGGCTTTACAGGAAGTAGGAGTGGGGGTGGGGGTGGGGAGGCGGGGACCTCCCCTCTATCATCCCCAGGCTACCCAGGCTAGACCGGTAGAGGTAGGGGCTCCTACACCCTCTTCTCTGGATAGTGGGAGGGGCTAGTGTCTTTGTGCCCCTGGGGTTGTGACAATGGATGTCTTGCTATTTGGACATTTGAGTGGGAATTCAGTTCTTTTGCTTGAACCTGGCTTGTTGAACTCTGACCTCTGACGCCCACCTCTCTCTCCAGATTGACCAGGATGGGCTCACCCTACCGGAGAGGACCCTGTACTTAGCTCAGGATGAGGACAGTGAGAAGGTGTGGGGGCAATGGGGTGGGGTTGCAGGGAAGGCCTGGGGCTCGGGGAGGAATGGACCAGGGCCTAGCCATGATCCTCACCCTTGACATGCCCCATCCTGGTGCAGATCCTGGCAGCTTACCGAGTGTTCATGGAGCGCCTGCTCAGCCTACTGGGTGCCGATGCTGTGGAGCAGAAGGCCCAGGAGATCCTGCAGCTGGAGCAGCGGCTGGCCAACGTGAGCAGGGGCACTGCTGTGGGCTGGGGGGAGGGGACCATGGGGCAGGGCTGGGTCAACCTGATCTCCATCCATCCCAGATCACAGTGTCAGAGTACGATGACCTCCGTCGAGACGTCAGCTCCATGTACAACAAGGTGACGCTGGGACAGCTGCAGAAGATCACTCCCCATGTGAGTGTGGTCTGGCCCTGGTGGGTGGGTGGGAGGGGGTGCTGATCCTGAAACTGTTGGGTCATCCCCTCCCCAGGATTCCAGTATCTCTTGTGTCTCCCTAACCCAGTGGTTCTCAACCTGCTGGCCCTTTAAATACAGTTCTTCATGTTGTGACCCAACCATAAAATTATTTTCGTTGCTACTTCATAACTGTAATGTTGCTACTGTTATGAATCGTAATGTAAATATCTGATATGCAGGATGGTCTTAGGCGACCCCTGTGAAAGGGTCGTTCGACCGCCAAAGGGGTCGCGACCCACAGGTTGAGAACCGCTGCAACCCCTTCCCTATGCTCTGTGGTCCCTGCCACCCCCACCCCCACCCCCACCCATGGCCCACAGCTGCAGTGGAAGTGGCTGCTGGACCAGATCTTCCAGGAGGACTTCTCAGAGGACGAGGAGGTGGTGCTGCTGGCCACGGACTACATGCAGCAGGTGTCCCAGCTCATCCGCTCCACACCCCGAAGGTACAACTGCCAATTACCCATCCCAGGCCCTTCCCCCATACCCTAGACCCATCTTCTTGGGGAGCTATGAATTCCCACCCCTGTGCAGGAGCCAAAGGGGAGGCATGTGAGGAGCACTGGAGTGGGAGTCCTGATCCCTAGGTTCAGATGTGGTTCTCTCACCTACTCTGTGGAACCCTGAGTAGGGCTGTGAGTTTCCTGAGTTGCAGTTTCCTCATCTGGGGATAGTGAGGCTTGCGTGGGTCTGGACGTCAGAAAGGGCAAGTGTGGCCACAGCTCTACCACCCCAGGGACACCCTGGGGAGAGCCTCCCTGCTCTCTGCTCACCTTGGGGAGGAGCAGAGGCCTCTCAAGGCCAGCTCTGGGGCACACAGTCACCAGAAGTGCCAACTCTCCCACCCATAGCAAGTCAGAAAATGATGCTGGCCTGTGACCTGTCAGCATCAGGTGCTCTGCTCCATGGCCAGAATGTGTCCTGCTGTGTGTGTGGACCCGGTCCTTTTTCTTGACCAGGCCACTCTAGGTTCTGCCTCTGTGTGCCTGGAATGACCCTCACTCCTGGGGGTGCTAGGTCCAACCCCAGGCTCAGGAGTATGGGCGGTAGGATGGTAGGATGGTGCATTCGGGTGTCCCAAGCATGTGAGCCTATCTGGACACCCAGCTCCTTCACCTGGCCCTCAGGATCCTGCACAACTACCTGGTGTGGCGCGTGGTGGTGGTCCTGAGTGAGCATCTGTCCCCACCGTTTCGAGAGGCTCTGCATGAGTTGGCACGTGAGATGGAGGGGAGTGACAAGCCCCAGGAGCTGGCCCGTGTCTGCCTGGGCCAGGCCAACCGCCACTTTGGCATGGCTCTTGGCGCCCTCTTTGTACATGAACACTTCTCAGCTGCCAGCAAAGCCAAGGTCAGGCTGCCCTGGGCTTGGGGGTGGGGTTATAAGTGTTGAACTGGGCATGGAGTCCTTGTATGGCCTTGGTCTGAGGATGGGGAGCCCCACACATCCCCCTGCAGCTAGGGGCAGCGGGCTAAGTTTAGGGCTCTGTCCTTTCTGAGGCTACAGGCTGGTTTCACCAGGTCTCCTCCCCCAGGAAGCCCACCTGGTCTGTCAGCCAGAGGAGGCCCAACCCACTAAGCTCCTGCCCATCCTTCTCTGCCATGCTCAGTAGGCATGGTCTTAAGAATGCATGCGATCATTGCTGGGGCAGTTCGCCCCCTTCCAGACTGGGAGCTTTTTGTCTGAGGTGCAGGGCCTGGATCCCCACCTCCAAGGTCACCCCTTGGTGCTCAGTACCAGCCCTGAACTTGGAAAGTGGTGCTGAACAATTAGGTGACCCCTCGTACCAGGTGCCGGGGGCCCAGCTCTAAGCCCTCCTGGGTTGATCCTTGAACCCTAAGCCCTGACCCTGCAGGTGCAGCAGCTGGTGGAAGACATCAAGTACATCTTGGGCCAGCGCCTGGAGGAGCTGGACTGGATGGATGCTGAGACCAAAGCGGCTGCTCGGGCCAAGGTGAAGTGCGAGCCTGCAGATGATGGGGTGATCAGCTTGAGGCCCCCCCAAGGGATGGGCTGATTTGTTTGTTCTATATTTATTGAGCACCTATGAGCGCCTAGGGCTGGGATAACAAAGGAGACAAAGGTGCCTTTTATGGAGTTGGCATGACCCGGTCTGCTCTTCTCCATCCTTGAACTCCCCTCTAAGCTGGAGCTAGAGCCTTCTCTTTGGTGGCTAAAGGGCTATCACCTGAGGCTCTGGCCCACTCTCACTGCCCTCTCGACTATAGCTCCAGTACATGATGGTGATGGTCGGCTACCCAGACTTCCTGCTCAAACCCGAGGCCGTGGACAAGGAGTATGAGGTGGGCTTTCCCCCTGGCCTGTTCCTGTCCAGCCTGTCCAGCTGGGTTTCTCCAGGCCCCTGTCCAAGACCTCCAGGGAGCCCATCACCACTGCAGAGGAGCCACAGCCAGCCCTCAGCTGATGGACCTTGGGAGGGCATGTGGCCTGCCCGGCGCTCGTCTGGCCCTGCCCCTGGCCTGCCGCTGAGTGCTGCCTGTCCCCTGTGCAGTTTGAAGTCCACGAGAAGACCTACTTCAAGAACATCTTAAACAGCATCCGCTTTAGCATCCAGCTCTCAGTCAAGAAGATCCGGCAGGAGGTGGACAAGTCCACGTGGGTGCCTGGCCCAGAGCTGGGGTGGGGGTGGGGGAGGGCAGGGAAGTGCCATGGAGAGAAGGCACCTTACTAAAGCCAGGAGGCTGGTGGGGCAAACTGCCTCACACCATGCTGGTGCGAGGGGCACAAGGCCTGCACAGGTTGTGGGTGGGGCTGTCAGCTTTGGAGACCATTGGGGAGCAGCTTGAGGGAGGCCTGGACATGGCTGTAGGCTGGACCACCAGAACAGCCTTCAAGAAGTTGGCTAGGAGGGTTGTGGAGGAGCGTGGACCCCCCGCAACTGACCTCAGCCTTCCTCCTCAGGTGGCTGCTTCCTCCACAAGCACTCAATGCCTACTATCTACCCAACAAGAACCAGATGGGTAAGGGGCATGTCCTGAAAGGGGCAGGGCTTGGAGGTGGGCAGGTCTCCTGCTTACCACACCCTCCCTGTAGTGTTCCCTGCTGGTATCCTGCAGCCCACCCTGTATGACCCCGATTTTCCACAGTGAGTACGGAACCTGGCCTTGTCTGCGAGGTGGGTGGGGGCTGCTCACACTGCTCCAAACCTGGGCTGGGTCCAGGAGCCAAGACATCTGCAGACCCTGGGTCCTCCTAGTCCTACTTCATCCTTGGTTATTTAGGACATAAATAGTTTTTTTTTCCTTTCTTTTTAATGCTCCTAGTCCCTTCTTACCTAGTTTGAGATTTCATCCGGTGTTTCAAAGGTGGAGCGACCCTAGCGATGAGGAAAAAGGCATATCTCATGTGGGGTGCCTCCATTTCCCTCCTGCCTCCCTCCCCCCTCCCCCCACCCCAGTTCTGTGAGATGTTAGTTCCTAAAAGGCAGGTGCGCAGGTATAAATGGCCCCTTTCACATATCCCACAAGGAAGCTGAGGCAGGAGTGCCCTGGCACCATGCAGACACCACGGGGTCACCTCCTAGCCTGGCCAGGGCCTCCCGGGGCCTGGGCAGCAGGGAGGCACTTTCAGAACACAGGTGGGGCCTGACGCTGCTGCTGTGGGCCCAGGTCTCTGAACTACGGGGGCATTGGCACCATCATCGGGCACGAGCTGACCCATGGCTACGACGACTGGGGTGAGGCCTGTGGGTTGAGGGGATGGTGGCAGTAGGGGGTAGGGTGGTGATGGGCTGATTAAAACTCTGCAGGGCCCCTCTGTCCTCAAAGCCTGGGCTCTGGAAGTGAGAGTTAGTCTCAGCCCATCCTGCCTGTTCCCCATAGGGGGGCAATATGACCGCGCGGGCAACCTGCTGCACTGGTGGACAGAGGCCTCCTACCGCCGCTTCCTGCGCAAGGCCGAGTGCATCGTCCACCTCTACGACAACTTCACTGTCTACAATCAGCGGGTGAGACCCCCTGACCTCCCTTAGCGCCTGGGGCCCAGCTCGGCACATAACAGGAGCGTGTGCACACACACGTGTACACACACATGTGCCCGAACAAACCCTGTGCAGGTCCCTGCACATACACCCAAGGGTGCATGCACACTCTCACAGACACATGACTGAGCTCACACAGACTCACCAGGGGCACGGGGCACAAAGGGATTGGAGTCCCTCCTAAATCCTCTTGGAAAGGGGAGGACAGGGCAGGGGTAGGGGTGGGCGGGGGCCCAGGGTGCAAGGCCTGAGGAAGGTCAGTGGGCCCCATGCACCCTCCGGCCTTTTCCTTTCTGAGCAGGTGAATGGGAAGCACACACTTGGCGAGAACATCGCAGACATGGGGGGCCTCAAGCTGGCCTACTATGTGAGCTGCTGGGGCTTGGCCCTCCATCCCTTCAGGGGAGGGGTGGGGGCTGACGGGGACTCAACCAGAGATGTAGCACCTCTTTCTCCCTGTTTTACTGTCCTCTGGCCTAGGGGGTGCCAGACAGGGGTCCTCAACAAAAGGAGGGACTCCCAGGCCCTGCATTCCAAGAGGAGGGAGGGCTGCCTGGAGGGGTGGCACCTACCTGGGGTTAGCCTTCCTGGGAGGAAGCTCAGCTTGGAGAGCGTGGCAGGAGGGAGCCGGGCCCTCAATGTGCAGAGCTGGGGCTGGAGGGGTGGAGGGTAAGTCAGGTTGCCCTGCTGTGGGCACTGCAGCTCCATGCACTTGAACCTCCTGAACCCCCAGGCTTATCAGAAGTGGGTGCGGGAGCATGGCCCAGAGCACCCACTGCACCGGCTCAAGTACACACACAACCAGCTCTTCTTCATTGCCTTTGCCCAGGTGGGCCATGGGGCTGGTAGGTGGTTGGGGGTGGGGACAATGGCTCTGTGGGTTCTGCGGGGAGTTAAAGGCCTAGTGTGCTGGGGGTTGTGGGAAGGGTGTTGCAGGGCTTGGGCAGTGAACTCCTGGCCTCATCTTCCACTCTCCTCCCCTGCACCCCTACCCCGGGCCCAGAATTGGTGCATCAAACGGCGGTCACAGTCCATCTACCTGCAGGTGCTGACCGACAAGCACGCGCCTGAGCACTACAGGTATGCTGCTGGGCCTCACCCTTTCCTTGTATCTGGGATGGAAGCAGGTTCTTATGGGAAGGGACAGCTGGGGTATGCTGGGACCCACACTTTATGGGTCTCTTCCACCCCAGGGTGCTGGGCAGTGTGTCCCAATTTGAGGAGTTTGGCCGGGCCTTCCATTGCCCCAAAGATTCGCCCATGAACCCTGCTCACAAGTGCTCTGTGTGGTGAGCCGGCCACTCCACACCCACCCGCACGCCCCCACTGTCCTGCACGAATTGCCTCCTGCTGGCCCCTGGACCTGGCCCTGGCCCCAATCTGGGTGCCACCTGCCTTCCCAGCCCCTCCAGGACCTCAGCCCCTGCTGTCCATCACTTTAGGGATGACTCAGAGCAGGGATGAGGTTGGGCTCTAGGAAGGCAGGAGAGAGATGCAGGGGTCCCCAGACTTGACTCTAGTCAGCCAGAGCCTGTGGCCAGGCCGGACTCTCCAGGCCCCACCTTTGCTGTGTTCTTGCTGCTATGTCTGGTCAATAAAGCTGCTGTACTGTCAATTCTGCCTCTGGGAAGGTGGGGCTGGAGGAAGGGTCTCCTCTGGGAGGAGGTTCAGGCTTTTAGCACCATCGGGACTCTAGGCGCCTTCTTGTCCCCTCCTAGTGACTTGGTTGAGCTGCCTCTGTCCTGCCTCCCCAGGCTTTTCTGTCTTTGTCACCAACGACCCATTTCCCCCTCCCCCAAGTCCTGCCTAGGCTCCTGCCCAGTTCTGGGGGTGCCCCAGACCAGCCTCGTGGGTACCGGACACCCAGCCCAGTGGTGCCCCATGCTCCATACCCCACCCAACCCTCTGGCCTAGGATCTGGGCTGGAATTGGAATCCTTAGGCCTAGCCCTCTTGCCTGGGCTCCCCAAATTCCCCACATCCACTCAAAACCATTTCTCCTGTCTCCCTGCTGGCTTAGAGGAAGCCTCAGGGGTCGGGGGCCTGTGGGATGAGCTTCCAGGGTCACTTCTGCTGTGTGGTGAGAAGTGCGGCAAAGCCTGGATATCTTTCCCCTTCCATCTTTGCCCAGCTGGGGGGCCCATTGGGGAATGGGCATGTGAGGGAAGGTGGGCCCAGGAGCCCTGGGAGAGGAATAAGGTTCCTGACCTGGAGGCTGGTCCAGAGCTGGTGCCCAGGATGCCCCGTGAGCCTCAGCTGCCAGTTGCTGCCTGGGAGTCTGATGCCCAGTGTGTAACCCACCTGGGGAGTGCCCACCCTGCTGGTGAGATTGTGTCCGACAGGCATGAGGCTACCTGAGACCCCTCTGCCTGATGGGTCCCCGCTGGGCTCACTTGGTGTCGATGTTGCTGTTACCTAGAGCTTGGGACTCCTCACGCTCCTTTGGGGAGAACAGAGGGAGATCAGCGGGTGAGAGGGAGTGCAAGCCAGGGACATCTGGAGGACAGAATCCACTGGTTTCCAGACTGCTTTTCCAGACAGAGCCCCAGAGCATCCTCACTGCCACTCAGTGAGGCGGATAGTGGCAGGGACAGCCCCTTTCACGGATGGGAAAACTGAGGGGGTCACGTGCCCTCTCTGAGGCCACACTGCTTGTGTCAGCTGATGGGCATGTCTTGGCCGCCAAGTCCTCAAGCTCTGGGTGTCCATGCCATATTCAGCATCAGCTCTCGGTGTGTCTTAGAAACCATGCACACAGCACAAACACCGGCCACTGCGTTGTCTGCCAGGCCCTGTCTGCAGCCACACTGGGGATTAGAGTACTCTGCTGGGGTGGAGGACGTGAGCAAACAGCACGGCGGCCCACTGGGCCTCAGTTTCCCTTTAAGTGAGGAACAGGAACAAGCGGTGATGCGGTGAGTCTAGATATGGCCTGGGGTGGCTATTGAAGGGCTGGCTGCGTCCATCCCCGGAGGGCAGGCTCCCCACTCAGCAGGCCTCCTCAGAGCGCGGCTCACCAATGCCAGAAAGCAATCTTCAGCTAAGCTTTTAATAGCTGGGGAATAAAGGAGGCCAGGATGGCTTACAACTGCACTTAAGCTTCCAGGCAGCACCTGTGTCCTGTGTGCGGGGGGCCTCGAGGTTCCCAACCTCTGCATCAGACCTTGCTTCAGCCATCCACAGCCATGAGACCAGGGTCACTGCTGAATTGCCTTGACAAATGATTCCATGTCTCTGTACCCCAGGAGATCAGCAGCAGACCTGGGGGTGTGGGTGAGGGGTGCACTTACTTGTGGTAGAGCCTCCCACCCCCTCACCCCTGCCCAACTCTGAGTCCTCAGGGCCAAGGATGCTGGGGTCACCCTCAGCCCTGTGAGTACCAGCTCTGTGTGTACCAGCCAGGCCTCTGGATTTGGGAAGGACTTGACGCCAAATGAAGAGGCGAACTTGTGCCCCAGTTTCCCTGCCTTGCGTCTCAGAGGAGACATGGGTGTCGGCAACCTGGGATTTCTGGTCACCCACTGGTTTCCAAACTGCTTTTCCAGACAGAGCCCAAGAGCATCCTCACTGCCCTTCGGTGAGGCAGATGGCGGCAGGGACAGCCCCTGTCACAGATGGGGAAACTGAGGGGGGTCACGTGCCCTTTCTGTGGCCACACAGCTTGTGTCAGCTGATGGGCGTGTCGGGAAGGGGCTCAGGGATTATGGTGCCACTGAGCAGCCCTGGGCCCCAGGCCTTTCCAACCCATTCTGTGGAGCTCGGATTCAAGTTTCTGCCACCCATGTGGTTGCTTCTATGCTGACCAGATGTCCAGCACCCTGGGGGTCCCAAGTGCCCCAGCTTGTGAGGTGCCCCCATGCACTATTTTTAAATGGCTTGGGCCTCTATTCCAAATATGCTGGGTCCTCTCTATGCAAATGCCTCCAGGTCTGGTTTATCGGAGGCCGGCTTGGCTTTCTCCTCATGCCCCATTGGGTGGGTTGGCCCTTTCCCACCCCATGCCCCCCACACTGGGCTGCACCCCAGCTGAGTCCCCTTTCCCAGGGACTACTGCAAAGACTGGGTGAAGTCACAGGCTTTGCTAGAGGTTTGGGGTGCTGGATGGGGAAAAGCCCTTTCACTACCTCTTCTCCTTTCTCCCCCTTTCTGGGCTCCTCACCCGTTCCCAAAACAGGCTCGAGAAGCCCCCTTTATTAAAAAGAGCAATTGCTAGCTCTGGCTAGTGTGGTTCAGTTGGTTGAGTGTCATCCCATGCACCGGTTCCGATTCCCGTTCAGGGCACATGCCCAGGTTTCGGGCTCCATCCCCAGTGGGGGGCGTGCAGGAGGCAGCCCATCAATGATTCTCTCTCATCAATGTTTTTGTCTCTCCCTCTTTCTTCCTCTGAAATCAATAAAAACGTTTTAAAAAATAAAAAGAGCAATTTCCCTTTCCCCCCACTAGCTCCAGCCTGGCCCAGAGCCTGAGCACTGTGTGTCCCCGAGGCTGTCCTGTCGGGCCACCCTGCAGCAGGACAGGGCAGCGGGCAGGGCTTGAGAGTGCAGCGTCCCTTCCTCTGTGCCACGCCTCAGTAGGAGCAGAGCTGGCTAGGAGGGGTTGGTCATTACAGATGTAATCTTGCCACCTCGCACCCCTTACAAAGCAGAAGGGACTACAACCCATTTTTGTTTAAATGGCATTCCCCTTCCTGCACCCTTTTCATCACCACCCCAGCCGGCAAGGGTGGAAGGGGGCTTCTGGAGAAACCGAGACCCATCAGGCTTTGGACCCAGGCAGCCCTCCTGGGTCTCAGTAACTGCAGTTGACCACGCTAAGCGGTCCTAGGGAGCATTTTATCGAGAAAAATGCAGGCCTCTGAGCCTGAGCCACCATTTGTAAACCCTTCACGGTCTCATTGAGGATTTGAGGGCAATATAAAATTCAGCTTGTCCTCCCAAAGGGAGCCCTTGCCCTCTAACCTCCCTTTTCAGCGTGGAGGCCACATATTTGACGGCACATCCCTGAGTGGGACCTAAGCGTGTACGTCACCTGTGTGTAAGGAGCAGTGCTCCTCTGCAGCTGCTCCTGGGCCACCTGGGTGGCACCCCTCCCTTTGGGGAACACTAGTTGTGCCTTGGCCTGGCCTTTCCTGCAGTCTTCGGAATGAACCCTTGGTGTCCTGGAAGGACTCTGCCCCCTGATCCCTCTTCCATGGCCTGAGGAGGACTCCCTCCAGGCCCAGCACCTGCCTTTGTCCCAACTGCGGTTGGTTCACATGACATGGGTTGTAGCTCATTTTGGGGCCTCCTCATCTGCCCAAGTTGGGGATTCCCAGCCCTCACTTGTTTATAGCCCATCTTTTTAAAAAAATATATTTTTATTGATTTCATAGAGGAAGGGAGAGAGAGAGAGAGAGAGAGAGAGGAGAGAAACATCAGTGATGAGAGAGAATCATTGATTGGCTGCCTCCTGCATGCCCCCCACTGAGGATTGAGCCTGCAACCCAGGCATGTGCCCTTGACCGGAATAGAACCTGGGACCCTTCAGTCCGCAGGCTGATGCTCTATCCACTGAGCCAAACCAGCTAGCATCTTTGAGGCTCCGCCCACATGTTCCCCTGGCCGTGGTCCCCCCACTGCTATCTGGGTGTGCCCTGCTGTACAGAAATATGTTGGCCCCATAGATTCCCCCCACCCCATGCTGCTTCCTCCCAGCCCTCCTTGCCTCCCCATGCTGAATAGAAGGTACCTAGAGGGCTGCACAGCACACTGTTCATCCAGTGGCCCAGGTCCCTTTGAGCGGCTCCTGTGAGCGGGCTGGTGTCCAGCATGAGCTCATCAGTGAGAGGGGATGAGGCAGTACCTGGCTCCGACCTCAGCTGCCACCCAGCACCCAGGAGCCTCTGGCAGTGGCTCAGGTTGATTCACTGGGCCAGCACGCAGCTCAAATTCCCCAGCTGCTGTCACGTGGTGCTGTTAAGCCGAATCTCTCCTTGCCTGTACTTTGCATAAATAATAAAACTCTCCCACCTTCCTGCAGGACCAAACCGTTGCAGGGGCGCTGGCAGGGATCTGTGTGGAGGGGTCTGAATGCAGCTATTTTCCCTCTCACTGAGGAGCCCAGGCCAGCAGGGAGGGGAGGGGTGCTGTGCTGGCTGATGACCAGTAACTTGCAAATCCATTGAGCAAAGAAAGGGACAGAACGGGGCATCAAGGCCTGGAAGCCTCCCGCTGAGGGGGGACGGTGGCCTCACACTTTAGGACAGGGAACGGCTGTTTCCTCCCTAAGGGGCACATCAGGAGACACAGACTGGTTCCTGGGCCCCCATGCCAAGTGCATCACGTGGCAGACTGGGCATCCCCAGTGGCAACGTCATATCAAGGGGAACTCCAGATGCCTTTGACAGGGCTACTGCCTGGTTTGTGCTCTGGTAGCAAACGCTGAAGCTCTGCTCTGTGGAGCACCCAGACCTGGCTATGCCTGGGACCCAAGGGTGCAATGGAAGATGCTGCGCAGCTTCACGAGGGAGCCAGGGACTCCAGGAGGCATCCTCCAAGGGGCAATGGCCTGTCACACAGATGCCGACCAGGGGACACCTGTTTCTGGAACTAGGGAGGAT